TTCTGAGGTGATGTGTAAAAATTCTTTGATTAAATTTAAAAAATAAAAATTTTTAAATTAAATTTTTACTATGCATAATTTAATTAAACATATCATTCATGAATTTAATGTCAGAAATAATAAATTATATCTGTCGGTGGTAGATGCGTGTACATGCAGGAACAAGACAAGACCATAAAAGGTCCCACACATCCAGGTATATTACCAGCATCCTTACCTCTAGTCATAAGTAGTGAACATGAATAAAACACATTTTGTGCTAAAAATCACCAATAACAGCAGATAATATTTTGTTGTCACTGTATCTAACTGTTCATTTAAAAGAAAGAATTTAAACCCGAAAATAGAACACCTAACTAAAGTCGTCGATGGATATAGATGTAAATGATGACATTCAATGTGAACTCAAGGCATTCAATAATATCCAAGTATTGTGTGATACATATATACCAAAAATCTCATTTCAGTACATTAGACAGTGTTCTCCCAACACAAGGTGTGCAGTTTGTTGATATGAACTACAGCAATCTAAGTTCCCGGTAATAGGCAACTGTGAACCAAACGAAAAGAGCAAAGATATCACGACAAACCACCAGTTAAATCCCTGATCACACCAAACTCAACCAATTTTTTCAGAAAAGCAGTTTCATGATTAATATCATGAGTAAAAAGTGATGTGATGATTTTCATTTTCACTTTTTCATAATAATGTATTAAAGCCTCTGGTTCTTTTGTATTATAACCAAATCCAACGACGTCCACCTCGTCACATAAACGCAGTGCCAGCATAATTGATATGGTTCCACTGGTTGGTACATTCTGCAAGAACAAAACATGCATTAACCCTTTCATTGCTATTAATTGCAAACAAATAACAATAATTTTTGTGACTGGCTGCAGGTCTTCATCAAAACTAATCCAGGTTAAGTTGACTTCAGTGATCAAAGTTTTAAAAGACATTCAGTATTCATATTCAACACAAAAAATAATTTATATATACATTCAACTATTTAAGCCATCTTGTATATAAGCCATACAAGTCACTGTGATAGACAGATGAGTGGCAATTTCTTTTTAAAAGTCAGTACAACTGTCTGTAAAGACCCTCGGGCAAAGTCAGTACGACTGTCTGTCAAGACCTTGGCCAAAGTCACTATGGCTGTCTGTCAAGACCCTTGGCCAAAGTCACTGCGACTGCATTCTAGACCCTGGTTCATATCAAGAAAATTTACATAAATGACTCTCTACATCATAATTAAATTTCTGTTCATGCTAAAAACCCTTACCTTGTTCATTTTCCCAAGATTGGTGGGGTATCCAAGAAGATCAAAGCTGGCTTCTCTTATGATAAGCGGGTTGATGATACGAGTTTGACGAGGGTTCTTTGGAACACTCATCGCAATCTTGCTCCAAAAACCTTTAGTCGACTGAAATGAAAACATAGTGAAATTCAATTACCTAATTTTTATTCGGATTGACTTCTTCTGATCATATGTTTTTCCCAAAGATTGGTGAACATAGGACATTAGACGGTAAACTGCATTAGCTCATAGTTTTTGTGCATTTTTTATCATTTTTTTTGTTTATTTTGTACTTGTATATTATTTTTGAAATATAGCAAAAATATGGAACAATTATGCAGGTTTATTTTGTAAAAGATCACCTTTCAAAACATCTAACTTTTACTCACACATTGGATTCTGTTACATACAATATACGACTATTACCAAGAATCCGAAAAGTTGAAGTTTGATTTAGAATCTATGTATTTATTATGAAACAAAAGGGATTATATTTTTAGAATTTCCGACCCCGTTAGTTGGACTAACATGTTATGTGGCATCTTAGGGTGCATGATGTGCACAATAGATACGTGTTGTAGAAAGTTATAGAAACTGGCACATACCCAGCGCTATGTAATCCCTTGTCTCATAATGAATACTAGTACATAAAATCAAAATTGAACTTCAATTTGTTAAATTTTGTTTTATTGAATTATTTTAAAATAATACATTGTACATTATGCTATTACACCAAAAGCAAATAGATTGTCTAACAATAGGTTGGTCGTACAAGTGGAAGACCATTTTTCAGTTATCAGGATATGGCTCAGTATGCACATAACTACTCTTTGCTTTGGAAGAATCTACGTTACACACATTGTGAGATGCGATCTGTTTCAAATATCTGATTATGAACAAAATAATAATACAATATGAACATTTAAGTTAATACCTTTGATTTGTATAATTTCAGAGTTTAGATTGATATTATAGCAATGGGACAATCAACATTGTAATGTTGACATTGATACAACTCGACAGGAACAAGATGTGGTCTTACAGGCTCTGTGGTTAGAAACAGATCACATCATTGGTGAAAAAATTCATGAAATCCCTGTCAATGTTATGTTAATATAAACAAATTGACAAAAACAAAATTACAATGGAAATTCAGTGCCACCAAAGTTTTGCTCAGAAAACCGTAAAGTTTTTTTCTGACTGGCAGCACACAACAACAAAGTGAATGATAGATGTCAAATAATTTGAAAAAATTTGGTCTTGTTTTGGTTTTGCCTTGATGACTGACAAAATCCACAAGGGCGCCCTCTTTGTAAAAAAGATGTAGCCCCTTAGCAGATTTAGATAAAATGACAACATCATCTGCATATAGGAGACAACTTACTTTTAAATTATTAAGCTATCACGCTTTGTTTGACATATGCAGTCACTCAAACAAAAAGAGATACAAATATCAACATTACCATTGGGATGAATAAACATTCCATTGTCTTGAGTTAATCTTTGAAACTTGAATGCACACAGATTAAACTTAGGTTGATATGCATTTTAATCAATTTACATGATATTCAATGTTCTTTTGACTTCAGCATTTGAAAGTTTATAGTACACTCCATAGACTGTGTCGGTATCAAAACTTCATGAAATCGCATGAAGTGCATGGTCTTAATGAGTACAATTGAAGTGAAACATTGTTTCAACCACAGTTCCTCAATACCCGGTTAGGAAACACTATTGTTCTAAGGTGTGAATTCGAGTCCCATGTACAGTGCGTGTTTCGCTTGCCCCCAGCGAGAGGTGATGTCATAGTATCTTGGAGCTCGTTCGAAGCACATCCGTTCAGTGTTACGTTACCACCCCCAAAACAATCAGTCATTATCAATTTGTGATTTGATACTTTAATTTTCGGACAATATGTTTTACTTTGTGCACAAGTGCCGGGAAGGTGTTCATTTCAGTCATTCATTCATTTTCCATTTGATTTTGCCGTAGGTGTTGTGTGTGAATCAAGATGGCTGTTTGGTGTCGCTAACAGAAAATGTTATTCCGTGAGAAATAGTAACTACCGAAACTTAAAAGATGGAATTAATTGTAGCTTTTAGATAACCAAACCGTTTATGTTGCCATATTACCCATTCTATTCATATTTAATAACAGTATGTCGCGTTACTCGGTACATGTGCTCTACAGAATTTTGTTTTCAAGATGGCGATACCTACTATTGTCGCCATTATGCCGAGAGTATCTAATTGTATCGACCTTCGTATATGCAAATTTCGGCTTAAACTATCATATAGTTAGTACAATATTGAGGCTAGATATCCCAAAAAATGGCAAATATTATTTCCATTGCTGTTCTCTTATTTTTTCATTTGTTTTTTTTAGTTAAAAATTCAGTCCTGTTTGTGGTAAGGTGTCAACTTGAAGCCATACGCGACGACGGTGGTGGTGACGATGAATATATTCTGCATCTAAATACTGGGATCCTTCTTCCATTATGTCATCTCAATGAATATTACTGTCGACGAAATCTTCGTGTTTTTTCCACATTTCATTAAAATAAGTAGTGAAACATGAAAATAAAGTTGGGTACGCCTGCACAGAAATGAATTGCGAGGTATTCTGGGTGAAAATGATGTCATACTATATGCTAATGATGTCATACTATATGCTAATGATGTCATACTATATGCTAATTTTATGTTAATGTAAACAGTGTGGGGATTACCAGTACCGAGTAAACTAATTTTACGAATGCGAAACAAAACGCATTGTGACAATAGAACTCGGAGCATTTCCTAACCGGGTGTAGAGGGACTGTGTTTCAACTAAGTAACAGTCAACAGAGTTTGGGTCTTATAAAACAACATTGCATTGTTTTTTGATGACGCAAAATGATAACCCAACTAGTGAAAAATTTCAATGAAAATAAGGCTGTAAAAATAATAGATCAAGAAATAAAATGTTTAAACTTCACAATGATTGGCCTAGATTTTGGACCATCCAGTAACCAAACTATTTTGTAGCTGGATGGCCCAGAATGTGGTGCGAGTGAAGGGCACAGAATGTGGCGCGAGTGAAGGGCACAGAATGTGGCGTGAGTGAAGGGCACAGAATGTGGCGTGAGTGAAGGGCCCAGAATGTGGCGCGAGTGAAGGGCCCAGAATGTGGCGCGAGTGAAGGGCCCAGAATGTGGCGCGAGTGAAGGGCCCAGAATGTGGCGTGAGTGAAGGGCACAGAATGTGGCGCGAGTGAAGGGCACAGAATGTGGCGCGAGTGAAGGGCACAGAATGTGGCGTGAGTGAAGGTCCCAGAATGTGGCGCGAGTGAAGGGCACAGAATGATGGCACACAAGGGCACAATGCTTATTTAGAGAATCTGCCAGCACGTTCAGGTGGCACAAAGTACCTACACATACTTCAAGATCAGTCAGTTTGAACACTGATTTTTAAGAAAGCATAGCACATAGTCACACACTCAATATTATTTGACTTACTGGTGTTTTTCTATGTAAAACACTGTCTAACCAGTTGAGATCAGCAAGTTTGAACACTACAATTCCTAATAAGGCATCTACATCATATAAATTGTTTTTACGTGGAGCACCTTCTGGATATGTGATTCTGATAGTTGTTTTAGTGCCAACATCTTTTTCGTAACCTTTGACAGGTGAAACGTTCATCCTGCAAGAATATAAGGAGTGTAAAGCTTGTCAAAAGTCAGGTTAAGGCACTACGGACGTTGTGTAGCATGTTACATATTGCATAGGACCCATAATGGCAAACATGATGTAATGACTGAGACTGCATGGAATTTTATTTGAAAGTGGGTGCAAATTAGAACAGAGAATCTAATTGGGAGGTCTTCAAAGGTAAGCATAGCACCAACATAAATCAAAATGAGAACTCCACTTACCTGATAACAACATCATACTCATCAATAACTCTACCATGACCTTTATTTTTAAGAATTCCTCCACTGCCAACAATTATACACCGTCGACAGCCATCTCTAAAAAACAAACAATTGTTGTGTTACTAGAAATATACATCTATTGCTAGTTGTTGAAATAAACAGCATTTTATGGTGACTCAAATATAGCTATTATTTATTTTCAGAGACTAGTACTGCGACCTCCATCTGTGTTACTAGAGTTGTATAATCTGCCAACGTTCAATCAGAAAAAGAACACTGAAATTTAGGATTTTTCTAGTCAAAAATCTTTTTTTGTACATTTATTGAATTTTATGTTTCTGAGTATTAATTCATCACTCAAACCAACAACCATTAAAATGACTGTCAGATTAACATACCAAGCGCCTAAATGATACTCAGACATGATGGTATTTATTTTGCATGCTTCAAT